TATTTCAAACTTTCGGTTTAACGGTTTTATAAGTTCTCGAATTGTGTCGGATTAATCAATTTTAATTGCATGTGTCTGAATCTAATTCTATATTTCGTAATCTTCATATATTAATTCTCCCTTCTCGTTATATAAAGACGCACTAGTAAAGACTAGTAAAGACTTACTTAAAAATATTTATGAACAATGGATGTAACTGAATATAGTTTAGAATTAGGTTAGGTCGAAGTAGCTTAAAATTAAAAAGTCAAATATTATTGACTCTGATTTTAAATCTGTTTAGCGACGCATACATCATTCAAAAGTTTTCTGTTTTTCTTGAATAAAAAGAAACGCGGTAGTATAAAAAAAAACATTTTTTTTAAATTCTAATATTTAATTCTAATATTTAAAAATGAGAGGAGTGTAACAAATCACGTAGAAATTTACTGTAAAATGGCATTTTAAGAAAAAAGAAATAAAAAATGACATTATATAATTAATATTATATCTATCATATGCCCTTCTGTATGTGATCTTTTAATTACGAGATGCACGATTAATAGAACGAACTGTCGCTCAAATGAAGTTTTAACGAGCTAAAACAGATGTGTGTATGCAAATCGCGTTGGAATCAACGAGATCACGCTACATACAAGACCGCACTGCCATCAACGGTATATCGACCGACGGCAGAGATGCTTCGTAGAAAATTTCAATCTTATCGTCGACCGTGAGAACATTCCTCGTATTCTTCCACTGTCACGCACGTTTTCCTTTGGGAAGAGATATTGCTTACGATTCTGCCATGTAAGCGTCATATGTGATAGTAATGACACATTCGCGGAATAGAAAAATAACTGTAAAGTAATAAAGAAAACATTTCACAATACTTTTTATTTACTTCTATATATCATTTGCGCCATTTTATTCAAAACATTTTTATAAGTTGGTCAAGTTTAATTGTCTCTTTATCTTGCAAGAGACAATATTAAAAAAAAAAAATTAATTAATTAACGTCAATTTATTTGAATTTAATTCATATTTAATATGAAAACAAATACAAAATATGGATAGCTTAGCTTTATTTAAGTTAACGACTAGAAAAAAAACGTTTTAAATTTCGTTTTTAAATAGACAATCACTTCGATTGTTATCCATCGGTTGCTTCAGCGCACAGATGATTAAGAATGCAGCACCCACGCGCATTCCAAGCTTTCTTTCGTGCGGCTCACCCACGCCGATAACCCACACGCGACGCGCTACTTCGCCGAGGATCATGCATAAGCGTTTACCGAATTACGACAGCATCCAATCAGAACTCCTCCGTAACGGATGCGACGAACTAAAGTCCCAACCCCGATCGATTCCACCCGCAAGTTTCTCCAAGGCCGTCAACTCCCGTCGAAACTTTCGTAGTCAGGGGATCTCCGAGAGGATTCCTCTCTGGTAAAGACGCCCTTTCAACAGGTACTTCTCGCCTTTTTGCGTGCGAGATCGTCTCGCGGATTACGGCGGAGTCGTGCCGCGACGATATTGACGAGGTAAAAATTCCGCTGAATTGATTCGCCGTGTCGTTACAACGCGACTGATTGAAGCACCTCGATAATCGAAAACGTCTCGCCATTCTGTGTCGAAGGCGCAATTTTATCTGCGATACAATCGACAAAATCGATTGTGACAATTGAAATGTACAGTGAAATGTAGCGTGAAAATTCGTTATATCATTCGAAAGTTTCGTGAGAGAAGTGAGACTTATCTACTACAATGAATGTTATTACACATGTATAATCAACATTGCGTATCTAGCGTTTCTATAATTAAAATATGTAGGAAGACCGAAGAGCCGAACGTCGAAAGCGAATAACTACCGGTTTCATTTAGAATGAAATTAATTGTTTAATCCTCACGCTGTCATTCCTACTCTGCGGATCTCTGTGTGTCACTGATAATAAAATGCAAATTCAGCGAAGTAGTAAATACATTTGCGAAGGCAACCGAGTCTATCTCTGCCCAGGCACAAAATTATAAAGTTCTCGCGAAGGCAAGCCGAAATTTCGCGGCGGCATACGTATTAACGTCCGTGGATGAGTTATAACACTGTACCGTGAATAACATTATACCGAGTTCGCCGAGTATTATTTCCGTACCTACCTACCGTACATATACGTAGGTACGTACGTAGAGAGACGTACCCACGTATGTACGTCTCTCTCGTACCTCGCACTCCGTAAGATATAATGACATTATTACGAGCTCCTGAGGGGATACCGCGTATATAAGGGTTACAGTCGAACACGGACGCGCGCGAGCTATTCCCGCGCGGTTTCCCGCACGCGCATTTTCACGAGGTGCGAGAAAACAATCGCGCGAGCGCGTTTTTCTGACGATATAGTCACGCGCGTATATATACGCGTTCGCTCGTACACGCGGTACACCGCGTACACGGGAATGAAGAGGAACGTAGGAATTTCTGGATTGTTGTTTGACATTCTAACGGGACGTACGCGCGGGGATATTTAATTAAACCGACGCGACGGTCAGAATGAAGCGAGGAGAAGCCAGCGACTGCCCGCGCTGGCCGACCGCGCCACTCCGCTCGCTCCGCTTCTAACGCGACGTACTGACCGTGTCGTGTCACTTTAACGTTTTGCGCCGGGGAGAATATACGTCCGTTTGCATTACACTCCGCGGTAATGCCTCGGATGTACGTATCCCTACACGATATTCATAGAGACGCTTAACACGCGCAGTCTGGCTTTCCCCCCTTCCTCTCTCTCTCTCTCTCTCTCGTCATACGCACATAAAACGTCGCGTCTGAAATTAATGCGCCGAACGCAAATTGTCGTGTTTTCGGGGTCGCTGTCGGTGGCACGGTCGAGATATATAACATTGCGGTGACGACATCGATTATCTCACCGATAGATCCAATCGTTCTTAATGGCCGCGTGTGGAGACAACGGATGTGTAACATTAATAGATACGTATGCGTGACGTGAAATAACAGTCGCGTAAGTGGGTGGGTACTCGCGATTAGTTTTGAAAATTTGATGATTTAATCTTTCACGGCTAGATTGAAAGTAATGAATGTTCTCTGGGGAGTTTCACGTATCCGGCACGCAGACTGGGAAACGTTGCGTGCACATCGATGCAAAATTGCAGTCATACGGCAAAGATTTATGTATCCGCGATTCTGAATTAGCGAGATGTGCGTAGGTTTATGTGCATATGTACTTATATATACTTATATACCTGCACTTAACGCTCGAGCGCAGGAACGCAAACAGTATATAGCATTATATAAACCTCCACGAGACAAATTTGCCTTTTACAAAATGAAACGGCTCGCAAACATAAACAAATCATGGACTCTCTTACTTCTCGCGTTTACGACGTGCGCGTAAAGGGATCGGAAAATCTAAAATTCTTACTTTCCTCTTAATAACTTTTTTTAGATTTTTATAATTATTTTGAGAATACAAGGAATTTTTTAATACTTTCTAAAGGATATAAGATACTTTGAATATCTGAAAAAAATGAAAAATAAAAAACCAATAATATACTGTATTAAGTTTCAATATTATTTTAATATGCTGTATTAAGTTTCAATATTTATCAAATAAATACCGAAATAAATATATTGATAATAAAGAGAAAGGCAAAAGACAATACTTTGTCAGTGATTTTGAACAGCTAATAAGTAGATACGATTCGTAAATATTAGATATATCGGTAACATTTAAAGGCTGCTGGTAGCAATTACTATTCTGTGTCGAGGTACGATCGACCCATGCATTTCCGCTGGATTAATTGCCCCTAAACGGGGCCAGACCGGAGCGATAGGGGCGCGAAGGGAGAGGGGGGCGGCTCGCGGGGTGAGTGAGCTCGCGGGGGCGCGATTAAATCACGCTCGTTAAATCGAAGCGGACGGTGCGGGTGCCGCAAAAATTGGTAGCTCGTTTATCCCGGTCGGCTCTAAAATCGGCACTATATGACGTGGACGAGCGATGAAAAATTAATGAGCCCACCGGTTGCCACAGTCGGTCGGCCAAAAAGAGGGCGGCGCGACGGTGTGAGAACGGAGAATGGCCAGAGCGATAACAGTTTTCCGTCCGAGTTCTACGTATCGAACTTTTTCGCTCCTCTTTTTTACGCGTCTGACCGCGACGGAATTAAAAGCGCCGAACGCGACTGCCGTCGCGCGATCGGAGGTTAGTTAAATCCAGTTGTCTGCGACATTCGTATTAAAATTAATCAACTCGCGACCCACAAGAATTGGGGTCCCATCTGCGAATCTGATATTGATTAATATCTCAATATGATATTGATTATGAATCTTAACGACAGAAAATGAATCTTCTTTCTTGCATAATATTATAATTTGAACTCTCCTTTAATAGTCGCGTTCAGAAATATCTGATCTATGGTCGATTACACTCCGAATTCAGTTATACCGTCCCAAGGAGCTTCCTGTTCACTCTCCGGCAAATTTCTATTTTTTTTCCCCTTGCTTCCGTCGTTGGCGGAACAAGTGAATAACTTTCGACTCGATTCCCGATGAAGTGGCGAGCTCGATATCAAATTGGCGGACTTCGTCGTGGGATTCGCCCGATAGAAAATTTTTAATGAAAGTCACTAGGGAGGATACGAAAGTTACGAAGAGGCCAACGAAGCGAGAAGAGTCTCCGGTAATCTCCGACATCTTGTTACAGCGTGGTGTAAGAAAGGCGGAGGAGACCGGCGCGGCGCGCGGCGAGCGCGTCCGTATCGCGCCGCGCGACCCCCTCGTTCAATTAAAGCGTCAGCGTCCGCGGAAAACTTTTATATGAATGGTTTTCATTACGTCGAGGACTTATTAAGGGCGTCTTCACGCGGGCATTAATATCACCGCGTCGCAACGAGTTTTGTTATCAAGCGCAATTCAGCCCGCAGTGCGCCGACGAGCACGGTACTATTTTAGCATCGGTGAGCTCGAGAGGACTGAAATCCGTCAAACTACTGAGATTCTTCTCTATACGTACCGCTCGTCGCTCGTGGTTTCCTCCAACTAGAGAGAGTTTCTTGTTTTTGAATATGGTAAAAGCCTCGATGTCGGCTCCCGCAAGTGCGCTGATCAATTATATCGATCTGAAAAGGAAAAAAAAGATTCGCGTTATCAAAAAGGATTTTTACTATATTGAATGGAAATACACCGCGCGCGTTATTGTTATCGCCGATAATATATTGTTCCAAATAAAAGGCGGAAGTAATTCATTTTGGAATGTGTGTATGTGTGTGTATGATATTAAAGGACTAGCAACAATAGCCGGTAATTTGCTATTCGGAGTCACGCCGCAGAAATGTATTCTTGCGTGATGATATATGCATCACGCGCGTAATCGTACGGTCGGTTACACGAGCACATCGCCATACGTTCGGCTAACCCGGTGATAAAACAAATCGTGACAAATTGCCAGCGAGATGTGGCAGTCCCGCGCCACGCAATTGCACGGTTTCACCGTGTTAAAGAACGAAAAAACGCCACACGAGGAAAGCGTATGAACTGCATCGAGCACGGTTCGTAAATAAACGCTTATTTACTGCTTATTTATTAACATTATCGTTCCCTGAATAATACACGTATATAAAATATACATTCGAGATAAGCGTTTTCAGTTTAAAAATAATACGTTTTGCGCAAGGTGCGCTTTTAAGTAACGACGATTACAACGGTGATACGGCAATCTGCGCTCCGCAACGTGAAAAGAACGTCGGGCGCAGGAAGACAGACGGCACCGGAATTATGCCTGCGCGAAAGTAATTTCTGTGGCGGGTGTCTTCCTGATTTCGCAGAGTGCACATAGCCTCCGCGGACTTTCCGGCTGTAATGAAAAATTGCGCTTGCGCATGTCCCATCTCTTAAGTACGTCCAAGAAGCTGATTCTCAGGCACTAACACCAGCACTCCGCGACGTGCGTGTGCCACCATAGTTTCCCGCCAGACTACTGCAATTTCGCATTGGAAAGAAGAGACAGGGAAGAGCTTAAGAACAGCGGCGGGGAGAGGGGACGTGAAAGATAAGACAAATGGAGATGACGGAGAAGAAGCGCGGCGCTCCGACAAAAAAAAAGATAAAAATCGTAAAGACAGTAGACATACAAAAAAATGCGTAATGTCCTCAATGCTGCACCATACAAGGAGAAAATACGCAAGATACAAACACATCCCTCCATTCCTATGATCCAATGAAACTGGAAGCGAACCTCTAGCACAAGGAAATGGACCACTGAATGTGGTCGAGCTCCGTATTAAGTAACTGCAGGTGGTAATTTTTTGTGTCTGTGTACGCGAGTGGTTGCCGGTAAGTACTCGATAAACTACAGAAGTAAATAACGAATACCGTGTCCTTTACCGCTCGACTTCCTTTCTATAATACTCGAGTACAAAATGATGGCTTTGAGTCATTTTGGCTTTCGCGGAGACGCTTCTACAGTTAATTACACAGTGTCGTTGCATAGGCATGACTGTCATTGATATCAAAACATGTAAAAAAAAAGCATTTTAAAGATTGTTGTATTTGACACAAGTAATAAACCACTAAAAATTGGGGTCCTTTAATTTATTAAAAAATTAACACACACACATAATTATTAAGACTGTTAAAAAAGCAACGACGTTTGTTACGTGATAAAAATACATAGCTTTAGTCGTTGCTTCTAGACGTAGAACCGTTATGAGGTTCTACAGCTGTAAGTAACTTTCTGCTAATTAGAATTAGATATCCCGGAAGATCTTTAATCGCGCGGGAATGCGAGTAAGAAAGTGCAGGTGCACCTTCAGAAATAAACTCAATGAGTCTTGGCATTAAAATTTCGTTTGTCGGACTTGTAGAATAAATTACATCAATCTTTTCCCCGTAATATACTTCCCCCGAATTTATATGCGTCTTGAAAAATACTCTTGGAATAATTATAGAATTGCAACGCGTCTCTGCTGGAGAGATCTCATTAATTTTTAATTTACGCAAATATTATCTGGATAAGATGGCTGTGTAAGCTTTTTAAAAATGACGAAATTGGAAAAAATAAGCAGTTCGTATCTTATCCGCACATGCAATCCCACATGCCTCTTATTACGCGTCCTCGTTTCTCTCCGCTTTCTGCGCGCCGGCACGAGTTCGCAATGCGCAAATTCGTGCCGCAATTTCGTCGTAATTTAATTTAACGCGGCATCGTCCGAGCAAACTTTCTCGCTTCCTAAATCCCGTAGGAGCTCGCTGTCGGGCACAAGCGGATGGATTTTTATCGCCCTCTCCCCATCACGCCACTGCTCTCTCCTCTCTCTTCTCCCCTCTCATCACCCTCTCCCTCTCTCTCTCTCTCTCTCTCTCTCTCTCATTCTCTCTCACTCATTCTAATTTACAAACTGATTTTTGATGGAATTGTGAAATTGGAGTTGGACGAAACGCACGAAGGGAAAGAGGGATGATTGCACAAGGCGGAAGCTTCATTTTGGATTTCGGGGCAAACATATTTGCCGGATTCAATTAGTATAAACTATTTCCCCCCCCCCACCCCTCTCTTTCTACATTGAAACCTCAATATAAATTCTAGTTTGTTACGCAATAATTCCGGATTATTATCATTATTATTATTCAATGAATAAATTATTATACAACGTGCTATTTTACCTTATGTCTAATTTTACTCATTTAATTCCCTTTAAAATTCAGCTGAGAAAAATACGGAAAACAATTTTTAAGTCATATTTTTTTGTGGTTACTCTTGACGTTCCACCCTATTTTCATATTTTTTTTTGTATTACGCTACCTTGTTGAATCGTTTCGTAGCGGATTTGTATTGGAGTACGTGTTTATGTGCATGTGTGTACGTGAAGCTCTCTCAGCTGCATTCGCACGATCCTAGTAATTTGTCGCAGCGATGCATTCAACGCTGCGGATCGAAAGGATTAAAAGCATCTATGGATACACGAGCCGGATCGAGTTGCAAAAGCAGTTTGTGTTAATAGTGTGCGATCTTTTCTGTCATCATCGGGTAAGCTGCGATCGATAAATCATATATCGCGCAACAGCAGTAGAGCGTAGCAACATCTGTTTTTAGAACCACCTTGTTAACGGCTTAACGATGAGTTTATGATCATTGTTTTTAGGCTGCACTCTATTCGATTACCGTTACAGTGCGAATATAAATTGATATTGAATATATATAACTTCTTTAATGAAATTATCGATTCAACGATTATTATTTCATTAGTTCTAATATATCTTCGGCAATATCGATTATCGACTATTGTAATATATTACTGTGACGTGAGAAACATGAGCCAAATACTACATTTGTCGACACGATAATATTATCGAAATCGAATAGAGGTTAATGATTAATATGAAATCAAGTCGTATTTTTATCTAGTATTAAACGCTTTTCTATTGATCTCTCCGCAAATTAGGAATAGAATAAAAATATATTTTGTACATTTGGATACTGTTTATTTTCGTGATGGTCTTTCAAAACCTATAGTCTTCGAAAATAAATGTAATTCTAATGTGCTTTTTCCTAAAGAGCATTCTAAACGTCTCTCTTGATTTCACAGCACGTTGACTGTTAATAGTCAACATAGACTGATATTTGGATGTATTTGCGGAACAGATCCGTTTTCCGGTTTTCATGTCATATCGGAAATACCGTTTCTTGTCTCTTCCGTGCGATTGCACTAAAGGTATTCGCGTCGCGCGATTTTATGGATGGTACAACGGAAGCGCATGAAAGCACGATGAATACGTTCGATGTGCATCGAGAAAATGCATGCACGGAGTAGCAGGACGAAACAACGTGATGAAATCAAATCCTTTTTACAGTTTCCTGCAATTTTTTTTCAATTTTTCAAAGATCAGTGAATGTTTTCTAAACGATAGCCTATGTAGATAATTTTAGAGATAAGATAATCAAAGATGGTATCACATCGCACGATGTATTTTACTCTAATTAAACCAATATAATTTTTGAAAACATTCCTCGCATAATATCTCGTGTTAAGCATTCAAAATATCTTGTCGATTCATGTAAAATTCAACGCGATAAATTTGCAATGTATTTTAAATTGTTAAGTGATGTCGAGTGATTTAACGACTAATTGTTGGGCAAACTCTCGTCGATGTTGTGCTTCCTCGAAATTTGCGCAAGCGCTTTGCAAGTTCCCCAGTGTAGAATTACGTCAACGGAATTAACATTCGTCCGATAGACGACAATTTGTCTTTGCGCCATTAAAATTCTTCGAGGAGTTCCCAGGAGAGTTCCCGGACTGAAACATCCTCCAACAACTCGGTTGGAGTAGTCGAGTCCTCGAAATGTCGCAAAAAGTTGGCCGATGTTAATGGGTCGGTACGATTACGTGAACCGCAAAGCAGCACGACCGGCCGCGACGAGAGAAGCAAAGAACAAAGTACCGTTATTCCTTGCGCCAAGATGCAGCAGCGATACTCTCGGCTCCTGGAGCATCATGCCACCGCGGACGAAGTTCTTGTCGTTGAATTATGCATGATTTCCTGCCCTCGGCCGTCGCTGTAGCCGCTAACCATCCGCGTCACCGCCACTTTCGCCGCGCCTTATTTAATAATCGCGACGAGATCTCTCTAGTACTAGAAAGACGCGACGATGTTGTGGGTGAGAAGCTTACGTGAGCTGAGTCGTATACTCAAATATATAATAATATCTGTAGATATAAGATTCAAATTGTAGAATTGAAACAATAGAGAGAGAGAGAGAGACAAAGAAAAGGAGTTTGCATTTACTATCGCTATTAAACGTCTTTCAAATTATGCAAAAATCAAATACTTTTACAATCTCTAACTTTTACATACACACACACACACACACACAAAATATATATCTTTCAAATCCAAAAATATAACATTTAAGTTATTTAGATTTTTCAATTCCACGTATGTTGGTATCTCGACATATATAAATAATCGATTTTAATCATAGTCTGATCCCTCCCGTAGTCGTAGTTCGAGTATCAATTGCGGCAACACGAGGAGAACAAGTAAAAAGATTAATATAAATTCACTCGCACGAATTTGTATGAAGACATTATCGCAAGTGTCGCGTCAGAAACTAAGCACGAAC